TAATATAAGTGCCAATGCATTGCATGGGGCTTCGCCCCATGCAATGCATTGCCAGCTGGGGGCAGAGCCCCCAGCTGGCAAGGCACCCATAATAAGATCATCATCATCATCATCATCATAATACACTTGTCTATATAAAAGTGCTTCACAGACATAAAAACAGAAAATTTAAAGTGCAATTACAGATTTAAAAAAGAATTTGGAGACAATTAATAAAAACAACAAAGCCCTTTCATAAAAATGTGTTTTAAAAGAGTGCTTCGACTGCTTTGCTTGGCTTGTAAATCATTTACCCGACCCTCACCCTCTGGTCAGGGTTTTTCCAACATGTGCACTTGATGTAATTTGAAAACAGCAGAACTACCATGCTCCCTGCATTCAAAAGCATATCCCCCTTTTTCACTTTTGCCCCTGCCTGTCTGTAACCATTAGAGAATGAAGGTGGATACTGTCCCTCCCGTGTAAATAGGTCAGTGAGAGAAAACAGTAAAGCAGTTATGCTGCAGGCCACTTCCTCATGGCCTCAGGAGGAAAACTAAGTTGAGCGTTGAATGAGGATGCTCTTTTAAGAAATAAATCTATATACTTATTTTATTTGACTAGCAGAATTTCAGCAATAAAGGAACTATAACTATTCAATTTTTTCATCTGCCTGCTTTTGTTGTATTTTGTATTTGTATTACAGTAACTGTTACAGCTTTCTTGAATTAAAAATATATTCTTGTATTTTCCGGTTTTATAACTCTAGCTCCTATTACAACCCTGTCAGATCATTTCATGTTGTCCATATGATCTTAAAGGTATTTCCTTGTCCTTTTAAACTATTTTCAGACATGAACTCAGGAAAATGTCTGAAAAACAGACTTTCTCCAGACTTTGCTTTTCACATATGAGGAAAGCAGCAGGAGATTGTCTGGTTCACTCACTCACAATAAGGAAGATCTCTAGAGCATTCAGGTGAGGAGTGGTGAAGAATCCAAGAGGCAAGACATGACGTCTTTACAGCACATTAGCAAGGCCGTCTGCCCTTATCATCAATAGCTCTTGAATCTCATTGCCTTTCCAAGTTGATCTTCTTCAGTGTCTTCTACGTGTAAGAAACCTCTCATTGATCCTGATTCATATTTGTATTCATGGTTTTGTTTTGCATACTTCACATCTCAGAAATGTCATCAACATGCTCACTCTTGAATTCTGCAGCCATAATCCTGCTGTATTCTCACATGGGCTCAGTCGGACATTCTCTGGAGTTTTTACAAGGGGGCTGGCAGCACAAAACTCAGGAGATTGTTCAGAGCAACCGACTCACATACAGCCACTCCAGAAAAAAAGCTCATGGCATGCCTGAAAGCCCTTTCTGTGTTTCAAGACACTCACCTGATTCCCAGGCAGACGAACAGCTGGAACTTTCCCTCTTTTCCAATGTTACGGGTCGAAGCATTGATGGCGTTGACGTAGTGGCACAGTGAGTCGCATGGCGGACCCTTCGTCAGTGTTGATCCCTGCAGATCACCCATCTGATCAGCGGTCTCCAAGGAAACCACTGCCTTCTCTGTGGGGAAGAGTTGTCCATAACATCAGTGCATGACTTATTAATATACTGAAACATAAGGCCATTAAAAACAAACACTGGAGATGGATGCTGTAACACTTTTGTTAAACATCAATCATGTTTTGTTGCATGTAATTTAATATGTGAAGCTCATGTTCACTGCCACTAGATGGAGACAGGGGTCCGACATCTGTGAGACGTAAACATCACATTTGTGGATGATATTGATGAACTGGCGCTCACGGTACCTACCGACAAAGTCCCACACAAACACGTTCCGCTGGAAGAGACGGTTGGATTTTAATCCATGGAGGAGGAAATTCTCCAGGGACAGCACCAGCCCTCCTTCACCACATAACAAGACTGTCAAGTTTCCCCTCTGGGAGGAAAAAGACACAAGAACAGAGGAACTGTGAGCATGAGGCTCATCTTACAACTTCAGTAAGTCTTATATAAGTGATGGGGAGCAGAGCAGAGAACATTTCTGATAAGCTCTCCTTTAATTTACTAAGGGCATGTCAACAGAACAGAGCCTGTGCATTAAAGCCTCTATACTAAATATGTTACGGCACTGAGGTGGAGGCTTGTTAATGAACTGATCCATCAAATCTCTTCTGCTTTTTTAACTTGGTGCTGACATAGAGAGAGTCGAGTCTGATGCACAAATGAGGCCCGGGCTGGAGAAGCTGGGATAATGAGCCGTGGCGGAGATAAAAATAACACAGGAGGCTGAACGCTGCTGCAGAGATGCTCTCCTCTGCATTAACCGTATCTGTCCTCATTGTATATTAGTGCACCACAAGGCTACATGAATGCAGGATTTCACTTTTACAGTCACGTACCTCTTGTTCAGGTTTGTGGAAGTGCTTAACAAGGTTATTTGCCGTCTCCCTCATGTTCTCCTGTACTTCAACAGACTGCATCCCTGACAAGATAAATGTCACAAACAGAAACGTGAGGATGAGCGATGACAAACACGGGCGGATGCGAACAGGGGCTCAATAGAAAGGTGATACAGCAGCAGAATGTGTTATTGTGGTGGGCCTAAACCAACAAGTAGGTCAGCCATTGTACTAAAGAATGTGCTCTTTGTCAGCACGTACTGCTTCGGCTGCCAAGCGATCCCAGTACTGTCCGTACGCTCTGAGAAGGAGAGGCCAGCTCCGGAGGCGTCCCTGTCCACCTTCCAGCGTCCTCCTCCCCACCAGGTGACACCAGCTGACCAATGAGGACTCTCTCCAAGCTGCCGTCACCCACGCCTTTCCCCAGCCAGCGGCCGCATGGGAACCTGAAAGGAAAGAGGACACAGAGCTTTATTATATTCAAAAGAAAAAATAATGAACAATTTATTATGCAAGGACACAGCAGGAAGAGGGACATCTGTTCTGATCAGCTGGTGTAGTGTGCTGAGAGAACATCGCTGATAAACAAGTTAAAATCGAATATAATAAATAAATTATATCCTTAGATTATTTCCTCCTTTTTTCCATAAGAGTAAACTACACAAAAATTACAGAATGGATTTTACAAAACTTGATAGAAGGATGGGACATGAGCCAAGAAAACGTTTGGCACGGATCCAGAGGGGCGGACTCAGGGATGTTTTAATCACTCACATTATGAGATAGGACCCTTGGTAGAGGTATTACTCTTCTGAGTGCCATTGTAGTTTTTAATGTTTAGGTTATTGTAGAATCCTGAACTTGCTGAAGTGTACAAGCTTTAAGGCGACACGTGTTTTTCATATCCACAAAACTCTCGGTCATTGTGTCTTTGAAAGGCAAAGAAAGGATTAATCCACATGTACTGTACAAATATATGCAACCCAAAAATAATCAAAATAAAATGCTGCCTGTTTATCTCTGGGTATTCTTAAATATATCAATATATTAAGGTTTATACTTTAAGTGGCAATGTTAAAATGAATACAGTCAACTCTAAATGGAGTTTGGTTCCTGTAATTATGTTATTGTCATCAGACATCCAACATTTGACACAAAGGTTCATTTAGAAGTCACTGTAGCTGAATCTCATTATCACACGGAGAGCTGCGGCCCACAAACACATTTTTGCCCACTTGGCCACAGCGCTTTAAAATCAGAGTCAGTGTTGAGAACAAAGTCAGAGGATGAGTCTTACTTGTATGTGTGTCCAGTGATCTCATTGTACACCATCACACAGTCGATCAGACACTTGGCCAGCAGACCCGAGTTCTCCTGTCCCAGCTGCAGAGTGCTCAGCCTGCCCAGGTTCTTACACTGAGATGAAAAGAACAGACCCCATTGACATCAGCTCTGTGTGTGTGTGTGTGTGTGTGTGTGTTGCTTTATATTGTGTATACCGATAGTAACACAGACGGGTGAATACAAACCTGGAAGAAAATCTCTTGTGTATTCTTCGAGATCTGTCTCACTCCTGAATCACCCAGTTCTCCTGACACACACACCCAGGGGTTAACTGTTGCCATAGCAATGCTCAACTTCTTCATGGGTACAATAACGACACGGTATGGAATACCTGGAGACGCCAAGAGAAAAGGTTATTGAAGTGATTCAGCGGTTTCTTTCACAAGTAAAATGACCTAACTCTTCGTACGATACTGGTTTTATTTGTGTCCTGTGAGTTGCAGAAAGTTTGGGATGGGATGAATGTTGCAAAACACAAACACAACAAGAGGCAAACTTTCATTACGTTTTTTTAAAGCTGTAAACCAAACAGTAAATTCTCTCTAAAGTTTACAGGACTCACTGATGGAGGTGAAGACCCGTGTAAAACAGAGGTAGTCCACAGTGTTGAGAGACAGCAGGTGGAACAGAAACTGCTCCCTCTCCTCCTCACACAGCAGGAATGCATGAGGTTTGTACAGCTGCCTGTCAGGGAGGAAATTAAAAGTCTGTCAAAGTTATAGCCCTCAACATAAATCCAATGAGTCACTGGTGATGAATTCTCACCTGAGCAGCTTCTGGTTTGTTAGCAGCTCTTTAAGGTGCTGGGAAAGCATTTTCTTCTCCAGAGCCAGGTGGATCCAGGCCCGGGCCTGACCCACCTCAGACAGACCCTCACTCATGGTTTGGATAAACCTGGAGGATGAACAGACGTCAAAATCGTATGTGTTGACTCTGTTTTTATTCGTCATCAAGACAAATTAAAGCCTTTTACGAACATATATAAACCTCTCTGTTTGTAATGGGCTGCTTGCTTGGCCTGTGGAAATGATGGTTGCAGCTTTTTTTTCTGAGACTGTATAAGTGAACTGCAGTAATTGAGCTACAGCGAGTTAAGAACGGCCGCAGGACTCAGCCTGCAGAACCCTAAAGCGGCTCCATCGCTGCTGCATAAAGAGTTCACCTGTTTATTCAAAGTGCGGTAAGCTCAACTTAGTTTGCAAATTTATTTTTATCTTTATTGTATGTAAAGCACTTTGAGCTGCATTTCTTGTATGAAAGGTGCTTTCCAATTAAAGTTTATAATTACTATTATTATTACCTCATGTCCTGTGTTAAGGATCCTCTCAGGAGCAGAGCGCCGTCATCAAGCGTCCTCTGCTCGGAGCCATTGGACCCTGAACAGGCAGCGAGCACAACACCGATGATCAGTAACATTTGAGCTCAGTGATTTAAAAAGAGAAAACAAAACAGTGCGGTGAGTGTCTGACCTGGAGACTCAGCTGGTGTCTCTGTCTTCCCCTGGGCTGCCTGGTAGTGAAGCAGATGGGACCAGAGAGCAGACTTCCCCTGTTTGGGAGAAACACACTTGTCAACATCGAACAGCTTCATGCAGTCATCTCTTAGTGTTTACGTCGCTTGATGTAAATGTGTTTGCATGATGACGCACAGTTCCAGATGCTTCTGTAGGTCATCTGTGTTTTTAGGGCATGTTCAATTACACGTCTGTGAGTGTCTGACCTGTTTCAGCTGCAGACCGTGGCCCCAGGTTCTCTCCAGTAGGTCACACAGACCGTGGATGAGTGTGTTTTCTTGCAGGCCTGTGATGTTGGCTTCTCCTTGACCGAGCTCCACACTCTCCTTCCCCATCCTTTCCATCAGCATCCGTTTGGTCTAAAGAGCCAGCATATTAATATATTTTATGACCACGAACCACAAATTAAGAAATCAAAGACAGCAGCACCTCCCACGCTACACAAAACGGCCACGCTCACCTTCAGACGACACTCGCTCAGCAACCCATCAACAAACTCTCGGTGAGTCTGAGTGACGGATTGAGGTGACGGGTCGAGCAGCTTTGCCTGACGGAGGTTCTTCCTCACAAACGTGTGCTTCTGTTGAGCAAACAAAAAAGGTCATAAATCAGATGCGACCTTCCTGAAGCCTTTCAGAGTGTCAGAGTGTTGAAACATGAGAAGTACCTGTCTCTGTTCATTATCCACTCCTGAGTGATCAGCTGCCATCAATCTCTTGGGCTCAGTCCTGCGTGATGCTGTCACACGACTGGACCACCTGTTCCTCCAGATAACATGACAAAGTTTAAGTCAAGTGTTCGCAAATGAGGTTGCGTGTTCAAATCTCATGTTTGTATTTTGGTAGAACCTGGATACTACATGCTATGATATACTGTAATGATACGAACCATAGGCAGTGGTTCTGGTGGACCTTTAAAAATCTTCTTTTTTTTTTAAATCTTTTTTTTTGGATGTTGAAAAAGTTACATTTTCAAATGAGCTGGAAGTTCAAGAACTACCCCTCGGCCTTAGGTGGAATAAGCCCTTGTTGAAATGTTGTCTCACTGACTAACAGAAGAAAACCTCACTTGTTGGTGTTTTGTCCCTGTGCGAGCACATCGGCCTGCAGCTTGGGGAAATATCCCGGCTGGTGACGACCTTGTCCGATCCTCATGTCGAGCAGGTGGGGGTGTATGGCTGTGTGGTCGGCCTTCAGCAGTCTGCGTTCGGTCGCCTGGGCTGCAGAGACAAACACAGACATGTAATCAACTGGTTAATTGCTACTCAGCTTCTTTGTTATAGGAGAACAGACACACAGACTAAGATGAATCAGAGACATATTGCTAAGAAAAAAACCAAATGTGCAAGATGATGCAGACTGAGATGTGAGCAGGGGTTTGCTGCAGTGAGGTTGGCAGGACATCAAAGCAGAAAGTCTGAAACAGTGTTCAGAGGACACAATGCATTTTGATTCTCTTATATAATGTTCTCTCAACCATATTATTTAGTTCACCCCCTCTCAAATTCTACCCACATTTCCCCCCTCAGGTTAAACTCTATTGTGTTTAAAACATTTATCAGATTGTTTAATTTTCCTTTCCATTTGAGAACTCTATCCACCAATTATAATTTCCAAATGCAAACGTTCTGGTGGAGGATTCCTATTGTGGAGAGTTAAAGCAAAAACCTCTGTTCTGGAAACTGTGGTTGCAGAAAGGCCGAGCCACATAATGAACACATAACTGCGAACAGAGGGACAGATGGTAACAGATTTACAGAGTCACTCTGAAAAATCTGTCACCTCAATCACATCACTCTGCTCACATGACCAGTTGGGATTTCAATCCACTGCTAAATCCTGAAGAGACACTGATGAAACAACCCACTGTTTCGCTTGGTTTGTCGCAGGTTGTCAGAAAACCGTACAGCTTCTTAAACGACTGCATGTAAAAACTCAAATATTAAGTGACTGCCTGCAGGGGCAGTAAACGTGAAAATCAGATTCACATGAGACTCTATGGAGATGATGTCATATCAGATTAAGTCTCCTGGTGAGAGAGCAACAATGACGCCTGAGATATCAGCTGTAAAACTGGACCTGAAAAAGCTTTGACATGTTTTTGCTGCATTTTAGCCTTGTGTTCAAGCATATAGGAATACCATTTTTTCACTTTATCTTCACTGGAAAAAAAAATGAAATCTGGGGTCTGTGCCAAACCACTATGTTCCCCTACGTTAAATTGAATTTGTAATGATAATGATAATGGCATGTGCTATTGTGATTTCCATAATATTGAATTGTTCTGCCCCAATGCATGACTTTAATTCTTCACTGTACCTGACTCAAAGAGCGTGGTGCACTTCCTGTAGTGACAGTTGTGGGAGTCCTTGTCTGTATCATACAGTCGTTCTTTCTCCAGCCGGTTGTCAAACAGCTGCTGCATTGGATCTCTCTCTGCCCAGCGAGAAATAACTTTCCCATCGACAAAAGAAGAAAACATGGACGTCTCCAGGAACCGGGACATGAAACGCAGGTGGGTCGTGGGCTGAACTGAGAGGAAGGAACCCTGAAACATTGTGAACCATGAGTGAAGACAATCAGCGTTGGCATCGATTATCTATCACAATCAAAGATTTATAGAAAACTATTTAATATACATGCAAATCATTGGAAAATAATAACCTTGTCAAAGCTGAACGTGCCCTCTCGGTTGCTGAGCCATGAGTCTAGATCCAGAGCGCTGTGGATGACAAACTCGTCATACCTGCCGAACATGGCAGCAAAACGTCCAGCAAACACCTCCCTCAGCTGAATGTTCAGCTTCGCAGCCTTTAACTCTTCCTCCTCCTCTTCGAACACGTGTCCCAGCGTCTGCTCGCCGTCTGACATTTTTCCTCCTCCGCACCTCCTTGCCAGAGCCTGCAGCCTCTCCAGCACTGCCAGCTCCTCGCCGCCGAGGTTCCCGTTCCTTCTGTCCTCCATCAGATCCTCCAGGACCAGGCTGCTGACACGTGGGGAGGTGGTGGTGGTGGTGGTTGTGATGGGCTTTGTGATTACACCTCCCTGGGGAGGGAGTCCAAAACGCAGCAGGACCTCGCTCAGTTCCTGGATTAACTCGGTCTGGTTTGGAAACATGGGCAGGTCCTCGGGGGCTTCGATACAGTGGTTGTCAATGTCGACGATACACAGGTTTGCCTGCGAGGAACAAACAATTATTATCAACTGGCTCATCCATCAGATAACAAAGGTTTAACTTGACATGACAGCTCCTCGAAAGTGACGCCAAAGTGTCTTGATCGCCCCTGGTGGCTGACTGCAGTATAGGTCATAAGCCTCCATGTTAATGGATGGGACATACACATCAAATATTTTCTCACAGATGGTTTCCGTCATTTTAGGTTATTTTCATCACACAGTTGTTTGATTAAATGCTTACTTTCCAGTAAGTTTGGTTTTAAATAATTATTTGAAACCTCATGAGACCAACGCCCAAGTGAGCGTGAGTCAGTCGGCTGGACCTCAATACTGCGGCTCCATCCTATAATCACTAATGTGCAGTCTGGCTCCAAACACCCAAGATGGCAGCATTTGTATTCAGGACACAGTCTACGTTCACAATGCATAGACTCTTATTGTTGACAATTAAAGGCTGAGCTGTGATATCAAATTAGGAGAGATGAAGATTTATATTTCATAATTAGATTCTTGGCATTTCACTGTGATAAACCCTCACAGGACAATTAGCATGTGAAGGCTTACGTAAAGATTACTGCTATCACAGCTGCTATCATCAGGCTTTTACAGAAGCAAATGACCCCAGCAACCTGTGTGAAAACTGAGCCTCTATAGCTGCTGAGCAACGAATGATAGAACTTTAAGTGAAGGATAGGAACTGATTTTTAAAACTGCTTCTGTAAGCAGTGCAGTCAGCAGAGTCTCGACCTTCAGCAGTGACCTCAGGCCGACAGTTTACAGCCTCAGGGGAAGTGGACGGAGGCAGACATCCTCCGGCCTGGCAGTTAATGTGCTAGTTGATGTCTTCACTCCTCACTTAACATCTTTTCATCGTCTCTTTGAGCCAAAGAAGAAAACCAGGATCATAACTCAACCCAATGCATTTTATTTTTCCAGTTGTTTTGTGAATCAGATACATTTTGTGCAAATCAATATTATGAACAACCACTGAAGTGTTCAGATCACCTCAGGGATACTGGGCTTTTCTAGTGATCACACGCATGATTAAAACATTTCCCATTTCCTCAAATTGCACAACTCAAGAAATAAGTGGTGATCCCTAATTCTCATTAATTATTTAGCAAGTCCCATAATTCTGGATATTTCCTGCCCTGCTTTTTTGCTTTCATCCCCCCTCGAGCTGTCTTTTCTATTGCCTCTTTTTCTGGGGCAGAGCGACTTCAAAGAGGCGTCAGTGAGATATTCATGCAGCATAAAGTGATCTCAGTTGCATGATTAGGTCTGAAGTTGGGGGGTGGGAAGCTCTGTGGAAACATGGCGTATCTGTTCGACAGGACCGAAGCCGAGGGCAAATTGTCATACAAGCGGAACAGAGGGGATCAGCAAATGTGTGTAAGAGAGTTTTAGTTTGACAAATCATTGTTAGATTCTTTTTGTGTGAATGTTTCTTAAAATTTATTTTTTTTGAGCTGCTTATTCAGAGCTGTACCTCGTGTGGGAGGTGAAGGGAGGAACGCTGAGCTCCATCTCTGCGCTGGATGCCGATCAGGAACGGCATGGGGGCATCCAGGAGGTGATGCAATGGCGGAGAGACGATGGGCAGGTAGATGTGCTGCCACTGGAACGGGAAAAGCAAAGTGGTGATGCCCTCTGCCACCGTCATCAAACGCTGGTAGTCTGAGGAGAGGAGAGAAAGTGAAATATGAGGCATTAGAGAGAATAACTGCAATATTCACAAGTCCAACTGTTTCTTCTATTTTAGTATAAACTATTACCTTTGTGAAGGAGGTAACATTTTCTCCCCTCTCAATGTTTGTTTGTTTGTTTGTAAGCAACATTAAACAAAAACAACTGAACAGATTTCCACGAAACTTGGTGTCAGGATGTGGTAGTGGAAGTCAGGAAAGTGGAAGTCAGGAAAGTGGAGATCAGTGGCGATCTAGATTTGTAGTTTTGCACCATGTTTTGTACTTGTTTTATAACTTTGAGGATTTCTAAATTCTGAAAAAGCCCTGATAGATATTGACTAAGGTGCTCCTTCAATATACTCACACATCATCTTAAAAGATTCTTTATAATAATATAAAAATATCTTCCTTTGATTTTAATCATGCAAATTCATTAATTGTTTTTTTACCATGAGAGCAAAGCAGAACTTGAGTCTCCAGAAATGCACAGGTAAGTAGTTGCACCATATTGTCGACACCCAGCAGGGAGAACGCCTCTCCCAAAGGATACTCCCCCAGTGGAAGCTCCCCCGGCCCAGGCCGCTGGCACACGATGGGGCGATGCACGCCGTGGAACCTCAGAGACCTGCCGGGCGGAGGCAGGGGCACCTCATACAGGATGTTGTGGATGTAGCTCTCCAGAGGAAGAGGTGGAGCTGTGTGCGACGTCACAGCCTGGTGAAGCTGAGACAGGAACTGTCGTGAAGCTTGAAGAAATGGGAGCGGCGTTAGAAGGCAGAGGGCTTTGGACACATACAGGGTGTCGCGAGCTGGATCGAAGGAGCCTGCGCAGCCGAGGCAGCCAGAAATTCCAGCCAGGGACTCGGCGTCTGACTCGTCCAGGCTGCTCACAAGAGAGTCCATGCTGGAGGTGGAGGGCGAGGAGGCAGATGAAGACGAGGAGGAGGGAGAGGAGGAAGATGAGGACTGGTGCTCCACATGGTGCATCTGACTGAGAGTGTGCATGGCAGTGATGATCTGAGGACTGGTCACCTCCTCGTAGAACGTGTGGACAAATCCGTAGGAACGTGTGCCATCATCAGAGCAAAGTGTAAATGAGTGGAACTGAGGATCGAGTCTGTCGGCCTGAGTGCGGAAGGACAGACCCCTCGGCATACAGAGCTGAAGACAGATAAAGAGGATAAAGAGGGTCAGAATTAAGAAGCAATTTGATGTTGACAATGTTCTGCGACTTTAAACTTTTGGTGTTTCAGAAATCTTTGAGGTTTGTAAGGTTGTATAAACTGGGGGTCCATCTACAAGTGGCCCACTGGATTTTGACTGTAGCATCATGGGGAGAAAACAGGTTTCATTTGAGGACTGTATATATTGTATATACAATAAATATATTGTTAACCTA